AATTGAATAATGCATCTTTCAATATATATCCGAGAAGACATCTCCTCGACTTTAAGGTAGTGATTCACAATTTGCACTTACATGTGCATCTTCATGTACGACGCACAATCTGATGTGCGTGTGTTTGTTATGAGCATGATACTCACACACGTGTGTTTTTTATGTGTACAAAACGCACTGGTTGTTTTGCTCATAAAAACACACGTTTGTTTAACGCAAACTTGGGTGCGGTAGGCTGATGTTTTATTTATATATTTGGAATTTCAGTTTCATATCATATGTCACCAAATCTGTATTTACTTCTGGACAACTCCCCTTTATAACATCCGTGCTGAGTCACCATGGTGAACTTGTTGTGACAGTAATAATACATATTGAGTACCTGAATAAAAAACTATGCTCCAGGCAGAGTTATTTATGTGTTTCTTTCAATATTTGATACTGTAACAATTGTTATATCAGTGTATTTTATATCAATGATTGTAACTGTATTATATTGTTTTTGTTGAGATTCGGTAGAAGCTCATTGCAATGTACTTGGACAATGGTTAGTGGTCAGGAATTTAGTACAATTTAATGTTAGCAGTGATTAGGAAGTTACCATATTTAGATGTTAGTGCCATGTGTTAACTTCCGGAATAGCATTGATATATGTCAAGCCTTATATAAACATGTGGAATATTCTGTGTGGAAAGTTCTGGAAGCTACTTGGACTCTATAAGTGGAGTGGACGCGTGCCTGTCTCATCCCATCACACATTTCCGCACATTATATTACACCAAGACCAGCTTTCGTGAAAAGATCACTTATCACCCCGGTTTCCCTGCCTGGGCACTTTCACAGGAACTTGGCCATTGTTGCTGCTGAGTGAATATACATGTATATCATTATCACTAACTTTTGCTATTTTGCTTTTGTATTTCTATCATGTTATATATTGCCATTGAATATTGTACTACCACTCTTTTGTGTACTGCCATTGTACTTGCTGTGCAGTAATTTGTATTGATTTGTAACCAAGTTAATTTTGTAATACAATTATTGATTGTTTACCCTTTGTTGGTTGTTTTTTGGTTTTACACAAAATTCTTTTACGTACAGACTCCTGGGTTAATATATCGTTTCACTTTGGGAATCGACACGTAACACAATGTTACGTTTCGAGACAGATACAAGCTAGAAATCAAAAGCGACAAAAATAATAAATATACTTATGAGTCACTATCGAGAAGTGATGATAACAGGTGTTCAAAAAAAGGTGAGCGTTTTCTGCCCCACAGATGACACCCGTCGCAAACACATGCAAAGGCTAGTCAAACGTGAACCTTCGCATGTCTACCAAAAAAGAGTTACTAACGCCTTGAATGTTGTAACGCTGATCAAACAACTTTCAAACAAGAGCCGTATGAGGCGCTTTGTAATCTTCGTAGAAAGAGCATATTACAAAAAAACTGCAAATATCGTTTCATTGTTGTTGTGTTTGATGATGGGATGGCAATTATCCATTTACTGGACACACTTTTCTACTTCAGTATAGGTGCGGCGTGTCACTGTAGGTGTGCATGTCTGTTTATTGCATGTGTCATGACTGTCCTGTACAGTTATGTTAAGCAAACCAACGTTTTTTTGTTTAGCTTTATATGTCTTTTCAGTTAATTCTTTTGGCATAATGCACTTGTACATGTGGATATGAATCAAGCTAAATGCATGCAGTGTTACCTATACCATTTCAATATTGATGTTAGTTTATGTGTAAGTGAGCGAAATAAACATAAACGACGCAACGTCATTATGCCATTCACACAGTGAGTATGTACTCCTGAATTCTTGCGTTGCTACCTGCTCCTGTTTAAACACTGATTGTTAACCTGGCAAACAAGTTTCAATATATCAGAGAGATTAGAGGTCGTTCAATTTACTTCCTTGTTACAAATGCGGGACTCCCAGCTCTGACCACAGCAAGCCACAGGTAAGTCTAATCATATCTCTAATATCCTTCTCGGTCCAGCTTATTATTAATCTTTATGTGTTTCTTTATATAATCCCGAAAAGTGACCACAGTATCCTGTATAGTGATATGGTAGGATAACGCCAGCTTACACACAATTCGTGTCTCATTGTTATCTTCAGGATTGTGATCATCGCAATGTTGCAATGACCAGCTGAAAGGCTTGACCTCATTTAATGTGTGTTGAACGTGAAGGTTCGTGTTGCTATTTTAGCAATACTCCAGCCACATCAGGGCGGGGTATACCAGACATGGCCCATGAGGGGATCGAACCCGGGTCAGCGTTTTACCCACCCTCGTTTAACCAGCCGTTCTATGCTTAATGAAACTGATGTTCAAGTAACATCCTGAGTGAAAAAAATACATTAAACTCAAACACACCATTTATCATCACTTGTCTTCAGATCTTGCTTTGTGATTGTTCCGTCAGTTGTGCTCATGAAACATAATAGTGTTTAATGTGACGTCAATGCCTTGTCACATTTCATCTGTCTGTTCACACATTGAGTTACTGAAAGTCTGCTGGCAAACATGCAAACATGCAAACATGTTTCTTCGAAAATAAATCTTTATAAATTTAAATTAACGACACCATAATAAGCATACATTGTTTAGTTGAGCTCACAAGAAATCAGGCTAACGTCTAACGGTCATTTCTCCAGCAATCTACCTCACTTGGGCCACATATACCATCACATAGAACATTACTGCCCAGTCACAAATTACCCTGACGACATCGATCGTGAGCGCTGGCTGGAGGCCGCCATCTTGAATGGAGTCTCGTTCGAGGGAGATCTCGTTATATGTTTACAAACCAACTTTCAACATTTAACAGTCAGGACGGTTCCATGACTGTAAGTCAATAATGAACCTGAAAACATTACACGAATCCTTCAGCTATTCCTCCAGTTTCAACGCTCTAATCACCATTGGCGTCTTGCCAGAATGTATCGATCTCTTCATGATGGTCAACACGTGGTCGCCGAACATACAGATTAATGCACAGGATTTCTGTGGTCACGTTGTGGGGTCATGGGTAACCCATTGGTTTAAGGCGCCGCAATTCGCTCTGCTGAGTTGCGTCAATCGCCCCAATTAATGTTTCAAGGTTTGTCATTTTTCAACATTGTACCACGTCCTCAGGGGTTTCACGAAAGTGGTATATGTCTGAGACCTGCATCACTTCAGGGTTACACGCTGACACGCCGTGTTCAAAAGAGGGGGGGGGGGGGGGGGGGGGGGGGGGGGGGGGGGGGGGGGCGGGGATTAATTTCAAACTCACAAACTCACCTAAGAAATAAACAGTGCAAAGAGAAAGCCCCAAACAAACATTATTCCCCTGTGCGTGACACATACGCTTCGCGTGTTAATCCAGAGGTGACTCGACCCGAGTTACGTGACGGGAAGCAGTCCACGTCGGCCCGAAAGAAGTAACACAGGCAGAGGTAGGAGACCGATACAGAAGTGATAGGAGTGTGGCCAGGGTCCGGATATAGAAAGTGGTGTCGATCCATGTATCACTTGACAGGTATTGTTTGGACTCGTGTTAAACAGCTGTGTGTATATTCACTTTGAAGGATCTACATGGTACAGCAATAATGTTGAACCTAAGAATGGTATATTGCTATTTCCGGATAACTGCTTGACATTCTAGGTGATGTTTTGTTTATATTTCGGTTTGACTTCAATGCAAGGACTGGTAAAGAGCCAGATAATGTGGAGGATGATGTTCTTGTATATCTCTATGACATCATTTCAAAATACAAACGCTACACCTTATGTTATGGTCATGTTACTTACATAATTTTAATTGCTAATCCATTGTATCAGATTGACGTTCCTTAAAAAAAATAACTTTTCTTCCGCTTGGGGTGAAAGACTACCCGAGCGGAGGTTTTTGAACTCGGATGTCCGCGCTTTGTCGTTTCCTGAGTATTAAAACTTAATTTTCTGATGCCCCTGGAAGAACATCCCAAACTTAACCGCGTCAGTACAACTGTTTAACTTGGCACTCAGAAGTTGGTTATGTTATGATCGGTTTAAGCAAATTTCCGTTGATATATTTAGACTGGCGTCGCGGCAACTTATACCTGTGTCGATTTGTAATACCCTCTGCATATTTTGATTGGGTCAGCTGTGTTTTAGAACTGATTAGTTTCTTTAAGTGTTGCCCATTTGTATATGTTCGTCTGTCAGACGTCATGCTGTGTGGGTCCAATGTTCAATTGTTACCTTATTACTAAATGCTCCAGCTTGGTGATTATTTTTTTAGTATTTATCAATTTTATTGCCATTGGTCTGCCTATTAATATATGTTTTCGCCTTCACGTGTCTATTAATCACGCTCGCTATTAAAAACTTTTGGACAATTACGAGTCGGCTCCTCTGTGGGTGAGGCTTTCCTCAAGCGTTGACTGTGGAATTGTGAGTTAAGCACCTTACAGTTTATTTCTTAACCAATTTGATGTACCAAACAACCATGTAGTACAGTGGGTCCTTTTAGGATTTATGTTAATGATATTTATATATGTATAACGTTACTTCCAGCGCACACATTACCCCATAGATTAGAATGTTCGTTCTTATTATTAATGATAACAAAATGTCGGCCCCTCTTCTTTTAGGTCATAAATATATAAACATGGTTTAATACAGCCAACCCCGAGTGCACCGTAACTGAGAATGAAGTTTCAACTAAGTGCCTTTCCTTAAATACCCTTTAATAAACCATATTACCCCCCCCCCCCCCCCCCCCCCCCCCCCCCCCCGCCTCCAGTCACTTCCTCAATTTGAGAAGTCCTGCAAGGAATCGCAACACACTATCACAGTCACGGATCCTTCATATATTAATATTTTTCCCCGTTGTGAAAGAAACCCCATTACGCTATTGAAGGAAAAAACATAGTAACACATAACACTACTCTTATCAGAACTGATTTTATTTAAGGTAAGGGTACTTTGGTCAGGTAGACTGGTGTTGTTAAATGAATATTTGAGATTTCATCTTTCAAACCATACAATTTATCAAACTATGTATTTCCTTCTCGATACCTCCCTTTTATTGCATTGTGTTGAGTCACCGTGGTGCTCGCAATAATTGTGACAAGGCAACAGGAAAATTAACAAATAACAATGCATCAAACAGCAAGTTTCATTTTCAACAGTGTTCTTTTTCTAAACTGATATCATCCTGTGAAACAGGTTTAACATTGTTGAGAGGCGTACAGTTATTCAACACTCAGATTACTTCCTGGTCCCAAACACACCCACAACACGCAAAGGGTAAGTCTAATGTCTCTTATTTATGTTAGTTTTCCCCTTTGTTCCAGGTTTTTATGACACATTTTATCCAGAGGCGCTTTGCCTAAGTTAATATCACTTTCTTTAAACAGTATCGAAGCAGGGTGCCTTGTTCGTTGTGATTTGTACACAAAAAGGAACATCCCTATCGCGGGAACGTGTGACACAATGTAATGTCATATTGAAGAAACCTGCAGCTGAAGTTTTATATATTGTTTCACCGCTTGAGTGTCGTCCTTGTGTACGGCGATGGGATGTTAAAATATCTACGATGATGGAGGGAAACTATATCCTTACTGTACGCTTTTCTACTGCAGCGTAGCTGCCACGTTTCACTGTGCATTTCGTGTTCACAGTGTGAATGGTGACAGCTATTTTATGTATAAAGGCTGTCCTGAATAGCGTTTGTTTCTGTTGACTGATATAGCTTTCCAGTTGCATTCCCTCTTACATACTTTCAAGACATTTCCTCGGATATTTACCTTGCGTTCGAAACATCGAATTTGGAATCCAGTGCACGTCATAGGGACGCAACGCACCCTTAGGACTAGTGAGTTGGTTTTATCGCCGCTGTGAACATTGGCATGCCAGCTTGATGGGCGAGGAAGTCGAATTGGTGTAGGTTTTAGAGGTCACCACTTTGTTAAATGACACGGGGACGAGTATAGTGTTGACATAACCCGGGCGAATCTGGGATTCGAACCCACTATCATAGGTTTCTGGCACATTGTTATGCTATTGAAGGAAAAAACATAGTAACACATAACATGAATGAATATTTGAGATTTCATCTTTCAAACCATACAATATATCAAAATATGTATTTCCTTCTCGATACCTCCCTTTTATTGCATTGTGTTGAGTTACCGTGGTGCTCGCAATAATTGTGACAAGGCAACAGGAAAGTTAACAAATAACAATGCATCAAACAGCGAGTTTCATTTTTCAACAGTGTTTTTTTTCTAAACAGATATCATCCTGTGAAACAGGTTTAACATTGTTGAGAGGCGTACAGTTTTAGTCAACACTCAGATAACTTCCTGGTCCCAAACACACCCACAACACGCAAAGGGTATGTCTAATCTCAACTTATTTATGTTAGTTTTCCCCTTTGTTCCAGGTTTTTATGACACATTATATCCAGAGGCGCTTTGCCGAAGTTAAAATCACTTTCTTTAAACAGTATCCAAGCCTTGTGCGTTGTGATTTGTACACAAAAAGGAATATCCCTATCGTGGTAATGTCTTAATGCTGTAGCCCTAATCAATTAATGTCATATTGCAGAAACCTGCAGCTGAAGTTTAATATATTGCTTCACCGCTTGAGTGTGTGTTTGTGTGTGTGTGTGTGTGTGGGGGGGGGGGGGGGAGGTTATAGAAGGGAAACTATATCCTTACTGTACGCTTTTCTACTGTAGCTGCCACGTTTCACTGTGCATTTCGTGTTCGCAGTGTGAATGGTGACAGCTATTCTATGTTCGAACAGCGTTCGAAACTACGAATTTGAAATCCACTGCACGTCATAGAGACGCAACTCAGCAGGTTTTTGTCACCTTAGGACGAGTGAGTTGGTTTTCTCGCTGCTGTGAACATTGGCATGTCAGCTTGATGGGCGAGGAAGCCGAATTGGTGTAGGTTTTAGAGGTCATCGCTTTGTTGAAGCACACGAGCAGGGGTATGGTATTGACACAACCCGGGCGAATCTGGGATTCGAATCCACTATCATTGGTTTCTGGCACATTGATTTGCGCCCTTTTGACGGCGTCTTTAAGTATGTAGTTCTAATCAATGTACGCAGTGGTCAAGAAGTTATTATATGTTTATGTTATTGTGATGTGTAAACTGCCGGAATAGCATGGATGGATGTCAAGCGTTATAGAAACATGTGAAATATTCTGTGATGCGATGGCACTGTATGGAAAGTTCTGGAAGCTAGTTAGGCTATATAAGTCGAGTGGACGCGTGGCTGTCTCATCTCTCATCTCTCACACATTTCCTCATATCATATTACACCAAGACCAGCTTTCGAGTGAGGATCACTTATCACTTGTCTAGGCCTTTTTTTCGGGAGCTTGGCCACTGTCGGTGGTGGGTGTATATATTATTAACACTGACTTTTGCTGTCACCGCTGACTTTGTAGTTAATACTGACACTGATATAATATTATGTATTGGCATTGTAATTACTTAACAGTAATTTGATATTGATTTATAAATCTAGTTAATTGTGTAATACAATTATTAATTGTATAATATTTGTTAGTTGTTTGTTGGTTTCACACTAAATTCTTTCAGTACCGATTTCTAGGTTAACATATTGTTTCAATTTGGGAATCAACCCGTAACACAATGTCTCATTTCGAGACTGATACAAGGCAGGAATCAAAAGCGACAGAACCCTTTCTTTATTCGTAAGAATTGTGTGATTAAACCAAAGTCCATTGGACGATTCCAACTATGCCATTAGCATATGTTTATGAGTCACTATTGTAATGATGATACCAGGTCATGAGGACGGTACACATGCAAAGGCTTGTCAATAGTGAACCTTTGCAAGTCTACTCAAAACAAGTGCTTACGCCTCAAGTGATGTGACCCTGATCAAAAAAATTTCGAACGAAAGTCGTACGACGCGCTTTGAAATAATCTTAGAAAGATTATATTGAAGAAAATACAAATTGAAAATATCGTTTCACAGCTGTTGTGTTTATTCCTGTGGTGTATAGGTGGAAAGTTAAAAAGGTTTTGATGACGGGATGGGAGATGTATATTTACTGTACACACTTTTCTACTGCATGTGCCATGGCGGATATATATAATAAGCAAACAAACGTTTTCGTTGCTTAGCTTGATATGTCTTTCACTTAACACCACGTTATATTTCTATAATGCATGTCTACCATGTGGTTATGAATCAAGCTAGAATGTATGCAGTGTTACCTAATCCCATTAAAATATTGATGGTTTTTTTATGTATATGTTAGCAAGATAAACACCTACGACGCATGAGCCTCATTTCGGTCACACACAGTGATTATGAACGCTGGAGTTAATGCATTGTTACTGCTCCTGTTTCAACACTGACGGTAAACCTGGCTATCGGGGAGATTAGATATCGTTCAATTCACTTCCTTGTTACAAGCGCTGGCCTCCCAGCTCTGACCACAGCAAACAACAGGTAAGTCTGATAATATCTCTTCCAATATCCTTCACAATCCATATTATTATTAATCTGTATGTGTTTGTTTATATATTTAATGCCGATAAGTGACCACCGTGTCACCGTAGCCTGTATAGTGATATGGTAGGACAAGGCCCACTTACACACAACTCCGGAATGAGATCATCACATTGTTGTCCGGACCAGCTGAAATTCCTGACCTCATTTGACATTACATGCACCAACCTCCTTTCGCCTCACAGTCTAGACCAACGTTTCAGCAAAATATCAGTGTAGGTTGATTTTAGGCCGCTTTCAGCAATACTCCATTATATCAGGACGGGTTATACCAGACATGGGCCATGTGGGGATCGAACTCGGGTCAGCGTTTTAACCACCCGCTCCTTTTTATTGTAACTGGTGTATAAGTAATATTAACCCCTGAGTAAAATAAACACATCAAATAGACCATTTATCATCACTTGTTTTAAAAATCTTGCATTGTGATTGTCTCCTCCGTTGTGCTCATGTGGCATAAATGCGTTTAATGTGACGTCAATGCCTTGTCACATATAAACTGTCTCTTCACACTTGGCAGGCTTAGATAGATATCATGCAAACATTTTTCTTCGAAATAAATCTTTGTAAATTTGTCTATAATTATAATATAAATATCATACATTATTTAGTGGAGCCTACATAAGTGTTTCATGTTCAGATTCCAGTTTGGAACATCCGCTAAAGCAACTCATAATGACTTTCCTATTATAAATATCCCCATGAACAGGTGTGAGCGAGGTTAAAAGATACGTTGGTTGTCAAATGGTTCTGGTTTATATTTATGGAGGAATGAGTGTTATAATATTAAAGGTAAAATAGGAAGTTGTGGGACGACTTTTGGGGCATTCTGGTCCACTTGGTGTGTTTCATGTAAGGCAAATGCATGTCATAATCACCTTTATTTGGTTAGACGTACTCTCGTCTGAGCATGGGGAGCTATACACTCCCAAAGAAGAGGATATTCCAAAGTAACAGATGATTACAGTATTCCAAAACGGTATCGGGTGATGGTAATGGATCGAAAAGAAAAGGAAGGACCAGACTATTAGGTAAAGGTCAGAACCACAGTGACGTAGTCCCGGTAGTATTGTCCACATACGCTTCCATGGACCATATGCAGTGGCGCTCTGGCAGCCATAGTGATCCAGCCCCATATAATTACAGATCCACCCATATATTTGTCAAGTTGCCTTACGTTGACGTTGTCAAGACGTTCGTTATGTTAGGTCGGAATCGTGACCAGTGATGACACAACTATGTTGTTTGTTCGGTTATATTCGATAGCAGACATGTACGTGCTCACACAGCAGCACTCCGAATCAGACTAACGTCTAACGGTCATTCGCCCTACAACCTACCTCAATGACGCCACATATACCATCACATAGAGCACCTTTAGAATACAGTACCACAACTTCTAGTGAGGACGATCTCTGTCGTAGGTCACATGTCTCAAGAGCGACGTCCACACTGTTAAACTTAGTGCAAATTTAACTAGTCATGCCTATGACGTTGAACTGAACGAAAAGGGTCGAATAGGTGACGGACACTTACGAAGGTTACGGGTAGGCATGGTGTCTCGTGACTTTAGCCTATCGACACTTACGAATGGTCCCGATGCCATTTGGCACACACGCCCTCAGACGTCAGACGTCGACCTCGCGAGTACGCGTGAATGATATGGTATTTTACAATTCGTCGGTTGTTTTTTGTCACAGAAAAGTGTGGTAGGGAACACTGTAAGGATAATGTGGATAATAGTG